CCAGGGATCCTGAGTTCAATTCACAGAAACCACATGGTGGTTCACAATCATCTGTAATGAGATCTGGTGCCCTCCTCTGGCCTGCAGGCAGAACACTGTAAACATAATAAATATTTTTGGAAAATTAAATAATGTAATATAGTCAGTGTTCCCCTAAATATTAGGTAGCTGAAGATGGTATGAAACAATGTCAGATGGTCGTTGACCCTAACAGTGGCCCTGTAATGAACCATAATAACTGCTTCCTGTGATTATTTACTGTTTCTCATTAAGTTGAAAGAGGCAGAGAAATCCCTAAGTTATAAGTCCTCGGTCAGCTGTCTGCCACCATGTAAAAACTCACTCAGAAGTTATGCTGTGCATCGTTCATTAACACGAGGTCCTCAATTTGTGTGAAGTCTTGAGAGACTTCAGTGGATATGAAGAGGTGAGGAAGATTGCTTTTGGAAGGTCTACACTAAAAGCCGGTTCGCTTTCTGGGTCTCTTTTTCCTACATCTAACACTTAAGACCTTACCTCCGTGATAGTGAAGAAGGTCCAAAACAAAGTCCTGCTGCCAAGGAGACTTACAGATGATCAACCCATCCTCTGCTTCATTTGTTACCAAACCAGCCCTCCTGTCCAGCTTAATGTTCAGTGGTAGGCTTACGGCTCCGACCAACAGCAAACAGAAGGGAGTCTCGCGCTTTAAACAGGCAGCGTTGGCGTGGAGGAGAGATGGGAAAGAGCACAAAGGGTCCAAAGAAGGGCTGAGGAGCATCCACGACACCCTGAGTCTCAGTCTCTGCACCCCAAAGGGAAGACGCTGGGGCAGAACTAAACAGCGGGTGCCGAGGTCTCAAGTGATTTGTTCCACTCTGAGCGTTGCTCTTGTGTTCTATAAATACGAACCTGTTTTCTGTCTTCAAAATCCCTATGAGATATTATTGTCCGTACCTTCTAGGTGAGGAAACACTAGCAAACCAAACAATTAATTTGTCCAAGGTGGATGGTTATACAGCTAGTAAATGCAGAGACCAAACAGCCTAGCTACTTAGCCTGTGGGATGCATTTGCCTCCCTTCAATATTAACCCAAAATAAGATGAAGTTTCTGAAGCTGGGCATAGTGACCCACACCTTTAGTCCCAGCCCTCAGGAACCAGAGACAGGCAGATCTCTGTGAGTTGGAGGCCAACCTAGTCTACATAGTAAGTCCCAGGCTAGCCAGGACTACACTGAGGGACCCTGTCTTGAAAACAAATGAAAATTCTGAGACTAGAGGAATGGAGAAGATCCATGGCTTAGTGGTTAAGAGTGCTTACCGTTCTTGCAGAGGATGCGGGTTCTATTCCCAGCATTCACACTGTCTATAGCTTCTGAGCCCCACTTCTAGCCAGGTACACGTGTGGTACATATACATACATACATGTAGGTAAACACACACACACTAGTTCTGAACTGGTCCTTTCTTCTGCTAGAAGCTGTACTATACCCTTTAGTAGACTCTAATTTCAGGTCTTTAACAAACTCGCCTAAAGAGAAAGACTGGGAACTGCTCCTGTCAGAAGATGCCTCTGGCTCATGAACCAGGAATAAAACACATTGGGTGTAAACCTGATACCATTTGAAGAACATGATTCTTCAGGGCCAAAGCAGCCCTCTTTGGGCATACTTTCTTGACTTCTAGAAAATAAACCATTTTCTTCCATAATTTCAAATGAGTCCGTATTTATGAAATATATACATGTAAGGACTCTTTGTCTGTCCTGCCAGCCAAATAATGACACCAAGACTTATTGTTAATTGTAAAAGCTCAACTTAGCTTAGGCTCGTTCTTAACTAGTTTTTATAACTTAAATTAACCCTTATCTTTTAATCTTTTTTTTTTTTTTTTTGGTTTTTCGAGACAGGGTTTCTCTGTGGCATTGGAGCCTGTCCTGGAACTAGCTCTTGTAGACCAGGCTGGCCTTGAACTCACAGCGATCCGCCTGCCTCTGCCTCCCAAGTGCTGGGATTAAAGGCGTGCGCCGCCACCGCCTGGCTTAATCTACCTTCTTTTACGTGGCTCGGTTACCTTTACTCAGTACTGCCCACTCTGCTTCCTCTGCACCTAGCTGGCGACTCCGCCTTTCTTCTTACCTGAGTCCTCTCTGTCCCGGAAGTCCCACCTAACCTCTTCCTGCCTAGCTATCAGCCATTCAGCTCTTTATTACACCAACCACAGCAATACACCTTCACACAATGCACAGACATCCCACATCTACAGGTGGAAAATACGTTATAACTCATCAGCACTGTGGACCATCTTTTTCTCCTCATCACTGGCACTAAGTCAACTGCATGCTGTCTTTTGCTTGTTTGTATTGTAACAAGGGGGACTCTTACTTTGGCAAGAGACTCACCTAAAGGAGAAGGAGGAGAAAAGTCTCAGAGGTATTTGCACTAAACTGACACTGTTCAAACATTGCTTAATGCGCGAATCTGAAGAGAAAGCCAGCAGTAGATAGCATTAGAATGTCTAATAAAATCAAAAGCTTTCAGCCAGGCACTAGTGGCTCATTCCTATAATCTCAGTACTTGGGAGGCTGGAGAGGCTAATCCGGGTTATACAGTGGTTTGAGGCCAGCCTGGGCTACATGAGACACTGCCTCCAAAAACAAACATAACAGAAACAAAAGGGGGAAAAAAGGTGTTGTAACGCTTTATTTTTATTTTTAAATATGTGTGTGTGTGTCTGTGTGTGTGTGTGTGTGTGTGTGTGTCTGTGTGTGTGTGTGTGTCTGTGTGTCTGTGTGGTGTCTGCCTCTGGACATCATTGTTGGGAACTGAATTGGGTCTTCTGGAAAAGCAGCAAGAGCTCTTAATCATTGAGCCATTTTTTTTCCAGGCTCAGAAAGGCATTTTTATAATGGATCAACTTTTACTCAAAGCCTCCTGTAGTAGTGTTTTTGTTCTAAGTAAACTTACTCCTCTGTGGGATGAGTGTGTGGAGTAACACATGCAATAACAGATAATAAAACTAGTCACTGAAATGAGCTCACTTACTGGGCGGTAAGTCTATACTACTAAAGAGGGGGAAATACTTAAAATTATAATGTGGCAAAAGCAATTATGGGATGTAGGAGAGTACTCACCCAGGATGCCCCAGGTTCTAGGTTTGTTGTCCCCAGCAACAACAATGCAACAACAACAAAAAAAAGATAGAAGAAAAAAAATTGCCTAATCATCATCCAACTTTAAAAATTAGGAAAATCATGCTTTTTGCATGGGTTTTGCTTAAAAGTTTATATAAATACACAAAAGAGAAAGTGATCTCTACTAATTCCTTTTGTGGGGGCGTTCTGAGACAGGGTTTCTCTGTAGCTTTAGAACCCGTCCTGGAACTGGCTCTTCCAGGTAGACCAGGCAACCACTGATCTAGGTCCTGAGCTCTTGGCACTTGCTTCTCGTTGTTGTTTGAAGCTGCAGGGCGATTGGTAAAGAAAAGTCCCCAGACTATCTTGATACAAAATATACAGCTTTAATAAACAGAAGTAAGACTTACAACAGCTTACACCAGAATCCAACCGATCCGTCCTGACTCAGGAGCCAGGCGAAAAAAGAGCTAGCGGAGCGCGTTTGCTAGGTTTATAAGCAGGCTTTTGCCTGAGGGCGGCACGCCCCGAAAACAGAATATGATTGGCTGAACTCCCCTATCAGTTGTTGTTTTTGAGATATTTATTGTTTCAGAGACTAGGATAAGGTGTCTGGCTAACTCAGTAAAATATCAGATTCTTAAAGATCAGGGTAGCTTTTTTTTTCAATGTGTATGGGTATTTTGCCTGCATGTATGTGTATCACGTGTGTGCCTGGTGCCAGTACGGGTGAGAAAAGGGCATTGGATTCCCCGGAACTGGAGTTATAGACTGTTGTGAGCTATCATGTGGGTGCTACCATGAGGGTGGGTAATCTCCTCCAGGAGAGCAGCCTGGTGCTCTTAACCACTGAGCCATCTCTCCAGCCCAAGGATAGCTTCTTGTTCTTTTATTTTATTGCTTTTTTGCTTCTACTCTATTTACCAGATGAAGAGACCACTCTAATGCTGTTTGCGTATGTGCTGGCTTCCAACCTGGGGTCTTTTACCTGTCAGATAAGCATCCTTCCTATCACTGCGTTCAGCCCTAATTGTGTGTGGGTGTGTGAGTGTGCCTGTGAGTATGTGTGCATGTGTGTGGAGGTCAGAGGTCAACCTCTGTCGTCCCTCTTCAGAGGCAACCTTGTGTTTTGAGTAAGGGCCTCCCACTAAGACGGGCATCTCACTGATTAGCTAAGGCTGACGGATCCTCGTGTCTCTGCTTCCCTGGCTCTGGGATTACAAGGGCACCACCATGTCCAGCTTTCTAAATGGGTGCGAGGGCTGGTGCTCAACTCCTTGTGCCTACTGTAGAATGACAGCTACAGCGTACCTATGAGCATATTGCTGAGGGTAGTCAAACACAGAGTTTCTGAAGCCTGCTTTGCATGTTCTTCTCTCACTTTGACAGTGGCTCTCTTCTGTATTTTTATTACTATAACCTTTTTTAAACAGAGTCCCATGTAGCCCCAGTTGACCTTTGAACCTTAGACTCACTATATAAAGGAGGATGACCTTAAATTTATGGTCCTCCTGCCTCTGCTTTCCTGAATCATACAATTACAGGTGAGGATAACATAGTCTGGACGATAGTTTGAGGGACTTAGTAGTAGCTTAGTAGCGCTGCGCTTTGAGATCAAAGATTTTATTCCAAATAGTTTAACCCTAACTTCTTCCAAAATATTTTTTTGTCCATCTGTTAGAGATGCCGCTCTGCTTCACTCACTGAGCTATGAACCCTGGAAAGAGGCAATGCTGACGCATCTTTGCACTGAGTTAATCCCGTCCCCTCCCACTCAGTAGGCGCCTGAATGGTGAAGTCCGCTGACAGACACTGCAGCAACTGTTCGAGAATGCACGTTGTTCTTATCAGAAGCGAGTGATAGTCATTATTTTCTTCTTCTCCAGGCTTGTATTTCAACAATCAGAAAAGTTTTCGAAGCTGGAAAACCAATACCAGTTGCTGCAAATAGAAAGCAACGAGTTTCAAGGACTACAGACTAAAATCAGTCTGATTTCAGACAAGGTAATCCATTCATTAACTTGCTTGTGGGAGATGTTCCCGTCTTCTCTACTGTCATGCTTGCACTTCAGGTCAAAGCTGCCTTACACCGTCACCGTTGTAACTCCTAAGTGGGCTTCTTACTTCTTTTATATATATTTTATTATGTATATAATATTCTGTCTGCATGTATGCCTGAAAGCCAGAAGAGGGCACCAGACCTCATTACAGATGGTTGTGAGCCACCATGTGGTTGCTGGGAATGGAACTCAGGACCTTTGGAAGAGCAGGCTCTTAACCTCTGAGCCATCTCTCCAGTCCCGACTTCCTACTTCCTGACATTCTCCCCGAAATCCAAGTTAGTTCCTGGAAAGCATTGAAAGTATGGTTTGCTTCAGCTGGACATGATAGTACACACCTTTAATCCCAGCACTCTGTAGGCTGAGGCAGGCACATCTCTGTGAGTTCAAGGCTGGCCTGGTCTGTATAACAAGTTCCAGACCAGCCATAGCTAAGTAAACAAAGTATGGTTGATCTTTAGATATAAAATTATAACATGGGAAGCCAGGCGGTTGTGTCATATGCCTTTAATCCCAGCAGAGGCGGGTGGATCTCTATGAGTTTGAGGCCAGCCTGGTCTACAAGAGCTAGTTCTAGGACAGGCTCTAAAACTACAGCGAAACCCTGCCTCGAAAAACCAAAAAAAAAAAAAAATTATAGCATGGGACCAGCAAGATGGCTCAGTGAATAAAGACTCTCATTGCCAAGACTGATGCCCTCAATGCCATACAGTAAACTAAACCTGAACTATTCCTAATTACAAGTGATTTTCAGAGCAGGGTGGTGATCCCATCACTAAGAGGCAAGCAGATCTCTGTGAGTTCATGATCTACAGAATGCATTTCAGGGCCGTCAGGGCTATGGAGAGAAACCCTGTCTCAGTGGGGAAAAAATAAAATGTTTCTCAGAACTTATTTTTAAGTGAACTTCTTTTTTTTTTCTCTTGTCTGTTTTTCTTTTTTGTTTGTCTGGGGTTTTTGTTTGTTGGTTTGTTTGTTTGTTTGGGGTTTCTTTTGTTTTTATTTTGTTTCTGTTTTCTGAGCCAAGGTTTCCCTGTGTAGGAGCTCCGGCTATTTTGAAACTCTTTGTAGACCAGGCTGGCCTCAAATTTATAGCGATCCACCTGTCTCTGCCTCCTGAGTGCTGGGATTAAAGGCGTGCGCCACCACAGCAGGCTAAATGAATTTCTAATTGCGGTGTGACTACACATGCATTAAAGTGACTCAGACATTTCGTCTTCTTTTAGTAGCTAGCTCTGCTACACGTGTGTCATCTATTACCTGACTAGCACGTTGTTTCATGTATTACATGGGTCCTTTGTTCTGATAGTCCCCAAAAGCTATTGCCTCAAGGGTTTTCTGCTTCTACAATATTTCAGATACTGACTTCAGCACATCATCTTCCATGTCCACCAAGATGTAATCGGACGTGTCTCTCCCACACGTCAGTTCTCAAATAGCCACTCTGAGGCTTATATTAATTGTAAATGCTTGGTCAGGTGCTCAAGCTTATGACTAGCTAGCTCTTACATTTTAGGTTAACCCCTGTTCCCTATTTATGTGGTGCGACGTGGTGGCACCGCTATTAGCATGGCACGTTCATCTCCTGCTTCCTCTGCTAGCAACTCTGACTCCGCCCTTCTCCTTCCCATCATCCTTAGTTTGATCGCCCCACCTATACTTCCTGCCTGACTACTGGGCAATCAGCTTTTTAGTAAACAAGTCTGAGTAACAAATCTTTACAGTATACAAGAGGATTATTCCACAGCACTAAGAAATGCAATCTAGGTGCCAGAGAGATGGCTCAGTGGTTAAGAGTGCTGCCTGCCCTACCAGGGGACTCGGGTTCAGTTCCCAGCACCCACAAGGTGGCTCACTGCCATCCATAACTCCAGTTCCAGGAGATCCCATACCTCCTTCTCATGTCTGTAGCACCGCATATGCATGGAGGTAAAACACGTACACATAAAATTTTAAATTTGAAAATGTAAAATAAGAAAGAAAGAAATGTGTTCCTCGTACTCTTGATAGTTGGGATAAACACAACCACAATAAAAATCTAAGACATTGTCTCTTTCTGGAAGGAGTTTAGAGCTCTCACCTGGCCAGTTGACCAGTCCATCGAGACAGATTTCGGTCACAGTAAGCTTCCCCCTTTGCTCTCCTGGCTTCTTCTCTCTCCTCTGAACATTCACTGTGCCCTGTGTTGAGTCTGTCACCACACTAGCGCCACCCATCTGACTTTTAGTGGTTTGTTTGGTTGGTTGATTGGTTGTTGTCTCCCATACTCCCCTTTAGGGCAAACACCACATCTTTTCTTGCTGTTTCTCCAACACCTAGAACTAGAACTAGTTCATAGAGGACGCTCATAGCTCTTAGCAGGATCCTAGAGTGTCTGATCGGAAGATCTAAAGCATTGTGCGCTCCATCAGATTGATACTTTGTAACCAGCATCTTGCACAAGGCCTGGCAAAAGATGAGCACTCGAGGCACTGTATGTAACAATTAATAATATAATAGTCAATGCAAAATGTTTTGATTATTAGGACCAGGGCTGTGGGCTTGTCTTAGAAGTGTTAGGAATCATTCAAGGATTTTTTTAATGGTACCTCACAATGTGCTTAGTGTTTTCAAATGCTTACTCTTGTGAGGAGTAGGTAAAATGATTTAGGGAAGACACGATATTATATAGCACTTCTGGAATACTTTGCTTGGTCACTGGAGTCTGGGTGAGGAGTCCACCAAAGTGTTTTCCTACGTCTCCCTTTGTTATAGTGCACACAGATTGCTCTGCTTTCTAGGTGAGCTGCTGCAGGGCAGAGCTGTGTCCTGTTCAGTGTTCTGTCTCTGGACAGAGCTGCAAACATTTGATAGCTTAATAGTCATTTCTAGGTCTTTTTGTAATCTCTAAAGTTTTCATCCATGTGAGGCTGGAGACTAGTGAATCTGAGAGGCCCTAGAGGCTTGTCCTGGTCTGCAAATAAACACTGCCGTTTGATGGAACTTGCCTCAACTATTTTTATAAAAATCCATTTTTGCCTTTTTACAATCCAATCCTAGTTCTTTCTCTGTAAGAGGTTAGCAAAAATAGTAATAAAGTTTCAGCCAGAAACTTCCAAAATTGTAGGCTTTAGGAGAGGTAGCAAGTTTTACACGGTTGCAGTTCCCTAAAAGCCAAATAGTCATGAAAAGGACATCTATGTTACTTCCCACTGTCATGAAGAAAGAAACTCTAGTACACTTCAAAAAACGTGAACATCATTTCTTTTGACTATGCCCTCATGAAAAAAGTATGTTAAATAACTAGGATTATAAGTTCAAGAATATATTTTTCCAACATAGGGCTACTCTACTAAATTTGCTTTAAAAAAAAACTATTAATGATGAATGTTTCTGTCCTTGTGATTCTGGTGTACTTGAATATTTTAGATATCTCCAGAATTTGAACCTTGTATATGTCATGCTCCTGATTGTTAAAATAATGTTTCTCTAATATAAAAATAATTAAGTAGCTCGGGATTGTTTGTGTCGTAAATGCAGCTGGAGTCTACTGAAAGTATCCTGCAGGAAGCTGCATCATCCATGGCTTTGATGACCCAGTTTGAACAGGAACTCTCTGGCCTCCAAAGATCCATACATGACATTGAGAATAGTGAAGAGATGCTCACTCAAAAGATGCAAAGCCTTAATGAGAAATTCCAGACCATTACAGATTTCTGGAAGAGAACCCTGGCAGAAATGAGTAATAATACAGCCATTTTCAAATCAGAAGCAAAGCATATACATTCTCAAGTTACCATGAAAATTAACTCAGCTGAGCAAGAAATGAAACTGCTCACTGAACGGCTAAAAGATTTGGAAGACAGCACATTACGAAACATCAGAACAGTAAACAGGCAAGAAGAGGAGGATCTTCTCCGAGTAGAGGCACAGCTCAGCTCCGATACAAAAGCCGTTGAGAAGCTCGAAGAAGAACAGCATTCACTCCTAGCCAGAGATGAGGATCTGACCAGTAAACTTGCCAGCTATGAACCCAAAGTTGAAGAGTGCAAGGCACATTTGCCAGCTATAGAAAATGCGATCCACTCTGTCCTCAGAGTCTCTCAGGACCTGATGGGGACAGAAAAGAAAATGGAAGACCTTACTGTGCAGATGTTCAACATGGAGGATGATATGCTAAGGGTGGTGTCTGAAATAATGGAGATGCAGAAGACCCTTGAGGGAATTCAGTATGACAACAGCATACTAAAGATGCAGAACGAACTGGTGGTTCTCAAAGGAAAAGTTCACGATTTCATAGCATATTCAAATTCAGGAGAAAAGGGGACTTTGGGAAAATATAACCTAGAAAATAAGGGAGCCGATGATTATTAAGCTTACTGTATCTTTTGATGGGCTGCATTGTTAAATGGAGATCAGTTCGTTCTATATTAAAGAAATGGCCCTGCCTCACTTTACCAGAGAATAAGTGGAGTATGGGCCACATAATCACACTGTTATCTCTTTAAGCTGTAAAACTTACTTTAACCATTTTAAATAGAAATAATTCTGCTGGGAGGTGGGGCATGCCTTTAATCCCAGCACAGAGGCAGCAGCAGGTGGATCTCTGAGTTCAAGGCCAGCCTGGTCTTCACAGGGAGTTCCAGGACAGCTAGGGCTACACAGAGAAACCTTATCTCAAAAAGAAAGAAAAAGAAAAGAAAATAGTTCTAAAATATATATTGCTGTACTTTTTTAGGCAACATATAATATTTACATGTCTTCCCAATAATTAATAGACATTATTATGAATTGTATTTATTATGCTAGAGATATGTGTGTGTATAGAGACATAGATATCTACATATTGATATCCATAGCAAATACTGAGACCATTTGCCATTTCTCCATGTGACCCTAGTGTTCTGCTTTTTAAAGCTGTGTCTGTTTCTCATGCCTTTTCTGTCCCCCGTTCTTGCAGTTGGTTGATAGCAGGCCTGCCTCTGCCAGCTTTTTTATATTCAGACAGCCAGGTTCATGGGAATTTTATGTCAAATGAAAGGTAATATGCCTGCAGGAGAGCCTGGGGACTCTTCTGTGAGGCGACGCCACCTTCTGAAAACTATGGCACCTGGGAAGTAGTTTCCTTTTTGCAAAGGTTCTGAACTGTGTTACAGCTACTCATAAGAAGTTTAAGGTGTGAGTAAATATGCTCTTACTCTGTCCTCATTAACATTTTTCGTCAGCCGGTTATGCTTTGAGGTATGAGCTCTCGAAGTCCTTTTTTGTACCTGTACTGTAATTTCTAAAGTTTGAACTGTGTGACACTAGAGTTTCCTAACTATAACTAGCAGGTTCTTAAAGTGAAAGCCTGCCAGTAAACAACACAGCAATACACTGTGGTCACTGTGATGTATTTATGACATTATGTTAAAGATTCCCCAACTTATGAAACTAAGTTTGTTTTACATATTGACTTTATTTTTAAAACATTAATGCTGGAGCTAGGCATGGTGGCATGAACCTTTCATACCAGCACTCAGGCCAGGCGGTGGTGGCACATGCCTTTAATCCCAGCACTCGGAGGGCAGAGGCAATGCAAGCAGATCTATGTGTTTAAGGCCACCCTGTTCTACATAGTGAGACTATATCTCAAAACAGTAAAATAAATAATAATAATAATAATAATAATAATAATAATAATAAGCAGTAACAAGGCTAGGAGATAGCTTTGTAAGTGAAGTTAAGTTCTTGCTGTGAAGGCTGAAGACCTGACTTTACCCAGCACTGACATGAGAAACTGGGTCTAGCAGTGCCTGCTGTAATACCAGCACTGGAAGACAGAGACAGAATGCAAATAGTACATGAGAAAACTATCGAAATATCTGTGTCTATGTGTCTATGTCTTCCTTTGCTAAGAAATTTGCCAAGCTGGGCGGTGGTGGCACACACCTTTAATCCCAGCACTCAGGAAGCCGAGGCAGGTGGATCTCTGTGAGTTAAGGGCCAGCTGGGTCTACAGAGCAAGTTCCAGGACAACCAAAACTATACAAAGAAACCGGCTAGAAAAATAAAAAAAAAAGAAAAGAAAAGAAAAAAAGAAATTTGCCTTCGGACTGAAGAGATACCCGGTGGTTGAGAGCACTGGTTGTTCTTGCAGAGACCTGACTTTGATTCCCAGCACCCACATGATGGCTCACAACCATCTATAAATTCAGATTCTAGCTGGCACACTCTTTTGACTTTTGCAGACAGGAGGCATGGCATGTATGTGGTGCACACACACACATATGCAAAACATTCATATGCATAAAATAAAATACATGTTTTTAATTTTGTATTTTCAGAATTGTCATTGAAGAGACCTAGATGCACTTAATGAATCTTCCTTTGTTCTTTTGTGTGTATTTTGGAGCTTTTTATTTTATTTTTGAGATAGGGTCTCAGTGTGTAGCCCAGGTTACTCTTAACTCACCATCTTCCTTCTTTCGCATCTCAAGTAATAGGATCACAGGTATATGTAATAGCTCGGGCTTCATTTTGTTGTGGTTTATGAAAATTACCAATATTGTAATATACATTTTTGTATCTCTATAATTGATAATAAATATTATACCAATTAGCTCATAGAGAGTACTGTCCTTTTATTTAAAATTCCAGCACAGATAAAGCATTTTTACAGCTAGGTGTGGCAGTGCATGTCCATAACTCCAGGTTGAGGCAGGAAGAATCCAAGTTCATGGCCAATTTGGGCTACACAGCAGGACACTAACGACAACAGTCTTGCAGAATGAGAGGCTGAAGAGATAGCTCTGTGGTTAAGACTGCACACTGCTCCTGCAGAGAACCCGAGTTCAGTTCCCAGGACCCACATAAAGCTGTTCCCAGTCCCCTGGAACCTCAACTCCTTCCCACTGTAGAGGATCCAGTGCTCTCTTTGGGCCTCCATGGCACTGACTGCTCTTCCGGGGGACCTGGATCCTATTCCCAGCACCCACATGGCAGGTCACAACTGTGACTCCAGTTCCAGGGTATCCAGTGCTCTCTTCTGACCTCCACAAGCACCAGGCATGCAAGTGTGGCATAGACACACGTGCAGACAGAACACATGCATGATATCATAAAAGAATTTTGTTTGTCTTTGTAGTTTGAGACAGGGTTTCTCTGTAGCTTTGGAGCCTGTTCCAGAACTTGCTCTCAAGACCAGGCTGGCCTCGAACTCACAGAGATCCGCCTGTCTCTGCCTCCCAAGTGCTGGGATTAAAGGCGTGCGCCACCATTGTCCAGGCAAAGAATTCTTTAACATTACAAGATGAGCTGGAGCTACGGCCCAGCTGACAGAGTGTCTGTCTAGCATTCTTGAAGCCCTGGGTTCTGTCCCCAACACTGTATAAAACCAGGCCTGAGCACTTGGGAGATGGAAGCAAGAAGATCATAAATCCTCAACTACATAAAGAACCCAAGGTCGGTCTGGACTGCCTGTGACTCTGTCTCTACAGACACATATACATACATGCATACATCGGAGTGATATTTTGTTTGTGTTTTAACAAGTAAAACTTGCAGCTGGGCGGTGGTGTCACACACCTTTAATCCCAGCACTCGGGAGGCAGAGGCAGGCAGATCTCTGTGAGTTTGAGGCCAGCTGGTCTACTGGAGCTAGTTCCAGGACAGGCTCCAAAGCTACAGAGAAACCCTGTCTCGAAAAACAATAAATGAATGAATGAATGAATGAATGAATAGATGGATGATGGATAGATAGATAGATAGATAGATAGATAGGTAGATAGATAGATAGATAAAGCTTGCCTGAAGAGCCAAGTGCTGAGCTTGGCCACTAGAGACAAGCAGTGCAGGCACACACCTTTACTCTCAGGACTCGGGGACAGACGATCTCTGTTAGTTCAAGGCCAACCTGGGCTACGCAAAACTGATCCAGTCTAAAAGAGAAATAGAGCTCACACAAAGGGGATTCCAGCACTTGGGATCCCATGCCTTTAATCCCAGCACTAGGGAGGTGGAGACAGGAGTGATATGGCTGGGCAGAGAGAGGACTGTCAGGCAGGAGGAGACAGGAGCTCAGTGCAGTCTGAGGTTTCAGAGAGACAGATGCAGTCTGAGGAAGCAGTCTGAGGACAGGATGCTCCTTTGGTCTGAGCATTGGCAGAGGTAAAAACTCTAGTGACTGGCCACTCGACTTCCCTGCTCCTTCAGCTTTCACCCCCTAATAGCTGACTCAGAGTTTTTATTATTAAGACCAATTGGAACCCGTGCTACATACATACACACATACATACATACATACAACAATTTAAAGGACTAGCTAATGATGTAGCTTAGAGAAGAGCACCTGCCTGTCATATACAAGGTCCTGAACTTGAACTTGATAGCCAGCATTGAAAAGGAAGGATGGGAAGGAGAGAAGAGGAAGGAGATATAGCCAAATAAATAATAATTAAAAAAAAACTTCACCATTTCTAGTCTGTTAGCACATCGTATTGAGTTTCCATTTTAGAAGTTCATAATAAATCCTCTCCCAAGCCACCAAATGAATCAAAGCAGTGACCTGGCCTCCTAAGAAGGAGCTCTTTCTTTCTAAGCCATCTTAGTTAAGACGTACTCTTTTTTTTATTTATTAATTTATTAAGTATATAGTGGTCTGCCTGCCTGCATGCCTACATGCCAAAAGAGGGCACCAGATCTCATTTCAGGTGGTTGTGAACCACCATGTGGTTGCTGGAATTGAACTCAGGACCTTTGGAAGAGCAGGCAGTGCTCTTAACCACTGAGCCATCTCTCCAGCCCAAGCCATACTCTTAAACTATGCTTACTCCACAGAAGCAGATGCATTAGCCAGCGACAGCCTAGTGATAAAATAGACAAGAGAGAGCCTTCTGTTTCTCTCACCCATGGGAGGCTTTTCAGCAAATAAGTGTATTGCGAAACATGATCCCTAAAAATAAAATATTTGGGGGGCTGGAGAGATGGCTGGGCAGTTAAGAGCACTGACTGTTCTTCCAGAGGACCTGGGTTCAATTCCCAGCACCCACATGGCAGCTCACAACTGTTTGTAGATCCACTTTCAGGGGATCTGACACCTCCACATCAATGCACATAAAATAAAGTTAAATAAATCATAAAAATTATTAAAAAAGGGAAAAAATGAAATATTTTGCAATTGCTACTTTATTTCCTTACTATGTGTAACTACCCATTAATGTCATGCTCCGAATAACCTTATCACAAGCAGACTTCTCTACTAAAAACACATTCTAGGTCACCTACTTTACCAGTCATTGATGTAGCATAAAGAAAAATTGACGAGAAAAATCAAATATATGGTGAAACCAATATACGGTGAAAGGGGGCCTCGCTACCTTGAGTTACCTCATTTCAGCAAATCGCCTTCTGTTACAGCCACTGCTTTTTGAATCTGCATTCAAAATCCTATTCTGGGAACTAGGGCTATAGATCAGTGGGCAAAGCTGAGAAAGTGAGTTTGGATCCCCACCACCCACATAGAGTTTGGGCGCAGAGGGGTGTAGATGGCTCAGTGACTCAGAGTACTTGCAGAAGACTCAGGTTTGGCTCCCAGAGCTCACATGGAGACCCACAGCTTCCTGCAGTTCCATTTCCAAGACATCTGAGGCCTTTGTCTGACCCGCATGGGCTCCTGATCTATGTAGTATACCCAAACTAACGCAAGTATACGCACATGTTTAGAAAAAATCTTTTTAAAAAATAATTTAGTATAGAGGGTTAGAGAGATGGCTCAGTGGTGAGTAGCACTGCCTGCTCTTCCAGAGGTCCTGAGTTCAATTCCCAGCAACCACATGGTGGCTCACAACCATCTGTAATGAGATCTGACGCCCTTTTCTGGCATTCAGGCATACATGCAGAAAGAACACTGTATACATACGTACATGCATACATCTTTTTTTAAAAAATGGGTACAGAGTGCATGCCTATAATTCCAGCTCTTGATGAAGAAAGGATCCCTCCCAGCCAGTCTAGCCAGTCAGTGAGCTCCATGTTCATAGAGAGACCTGTCTCAAAAACTAAGGTAGTGCCATGTATGGTGGCACCAGCCTTTGATCTCAGCTCTCAGAAGGCAAAAGCATATGGATCTGGTCTACATAGGACATTTCTGGCCAAAGGTACATAGTGAGACACTATCTCAAAAAAAAAAAAAAAAGAAAAGAAAAAAAGAAAGAGAAAAACCATGGAGAGCAATAGTAGAAAACACGTGAGACACACTTTGGTTTTCTACCCCCACACACGAAGGACTAATCTGACCATATTACATTTTTTCCTTAGATAAACTACATACTTACATGTTAGCCAAAGCATCCAAAAGGTAACTGAGTAAGCCAGTAGAATCTAAGAACAATGACCCATCAAAAGCATTGAAGAAATGTCTAGTTACTCTAGAAAACACCTGATGCCTGCAGGTTACACTGCAATCCTTATCTTAATGAAAGATGCTTTCAGCCCTCAGATCTTTTTGGTCCATGCCTTTTTTCTGAGTTTTAAATAATCAGTTTCTTGCCAATCTGCTTCCAAAACTTAATAGCAAACTCCCCGAAATGAGACACTGCCCTGATCCTACTTGCTTGTAATATTCAGCTTGGAAAGTTGTTGGGTCAGACTTCTTCACCATCAGTAGAAAGCTACAGTATGGAGCAGTCCAAGGACAGCCTTGGGGAGTCCGTTCTCTTCTTCTGCCATGTGGGCCCCAGGGCTTGAACTCAGGTCATCAGCTTGGCAATAAACACCTTCACCCAGAGCATCTCATTGGCCCTGCCAATTCAAAGATTTTCAAAAGTGTATGTGTATGTGTGTCTGCTATGTCTACGCAGGTACCCAGGGAGGCTGGACCCTGGTACTCTGGAGTTGGGGCTACACGGTTGTGAGCCACCTAGCATGGGTGAGGAGAACCAATGAGCTCAGGTCCTCCGGAAGGGCAGCGCATACTCTCTCCAGCCCCCAGTTATACCTTAATAAAGTATTTTTTAAATGCCTGAAATAGCTTAATAGAACTTTTTAAAGCAGAGGAATCAGGAGTTTCGCACCAGTCTGGACTGCATAGCAAGACTCAAGACTGTGTCTTTAAATTTAAAAAAAAAAATACTTCTATGTAGCTGTGTGGCAGACCTTATCTAACACGTCCAGGCTCTGGTTCTGCCTCAACAGCACAAAGAAAAGCCAGGACTGATGACTCCCATCTGTAGTCAGGCTATTTAGAAAGCTAAGACAGACAGAAGATCATTTGAGGCCAGAAGTTCAAGACCAGCTTGGGTAATATAGCAAGACCTGTCTGAAAAATAAAAACAAGAAAGGCAAAAAACAACGAAAAAGAGAATATGCGGTCTCCTCAGTCCTAAACGATACCTAGGCGCATCTGGAGAGTTCTTCCTTTCTTCCATAGCTACGAAGAAAACACACCCCTGTGTCCGTTAGCTCATTCTGTTACTATTTAGAGGACCAATGGTATAGGAACATCAACAGAAGTCATCTCCAATAATGTTTTATGAAATGTCCTGGGTGTTTTCCTTACTCATTAACAATATATTTGAATTACTTTAAATCCCCTTTTTCTAATTCCTTTTGGAGTTTTCTCGGGT